CGAAGCGCATGTTTGGTGTGTACTGTGCATGTGCATGCAATGTGCTTTTGCGCAGCAAAATGCGCAGGCAGCGAACCGGTGGCAATCTGCGGAGGATTTCACCACTGCATCCAGGCCATGATTGTCTCAAAGGAATGTTTTCAAAGCAAAAACAAGAAAGTCTAGTTGCTTCCTGAAAAAGCACCTCTGGGATACAGAGGACTGGAGGCTAAAACATATGAAGAACGGTTGCAGGAACTGGGTATGTCTAGTTTGATGAAGAGAAGGACCAGGGGAGACATGATAGGAGTCTTCCAATATCTCAGGGGCTGCCACAAAGAAGAGGGAGTCAAGCTATTCTCCAAAGCACCTGAGGGCAGGACAAGAAGCAATGGGTGGAAACTCATCAAGGAGGGAAGCAATTTAGAACTAAGGAGAAATTTCCTGACAATAACAATTAATAAGTGGAACAACTTGCCTGCAGAAATTGTGAATGCTCCAACACTGGAAGTTTTTAAGAAGATGTTGGCTAACCATTTGTCTGAAGTGGTGTAGGGTTTCCTGCCTAGGCAGGGGGTTGGACTAGAAGACCTCCAAGGTCCCTTCCAACTCTGTTATTCTATTCTATTCTATTCTATTCTATTCTATTCTATTCACAACAACAAAAGATTGCAAAAGCATAAGAAAGCTTTTGAGTTTATTATCATTTGTTAATGTTTTATGGCTCATTCAGGTGTATTTTTTAAAAAAAATATACAATGGAACACAGAAATATTTGTCTCTTGCTCAGAGCTCAAGAGTGGGGTGAGATGTACTTCAGAGGAAAAGAACCTTTCTCCTTGACTTTTGCCTGGGCAGGAATTACATTAAACCTATTTTCAGCATACAGTATGTATTTTTTTAATGTTTCTCTAGAGATTCAGTGCTGTCACTGCAGCCAGAGGTCATTTGGTTTACAAAACAAGAGTTCTGGATCCTCATGTGGTTTGGGATAGAAATGACTCACCCTTGCTCCAGAATCTTTCCTTTTTTGTGAAAGTTATGAATATTTGTGAAAGTTATAAATACAAGATTATCTATCCATCCATCCGTCCGTCCGTCCGTCCGTCCGTCCGTCCGTCCGTCCATCCATCCATCCATCCATCCATCCATCCATCCATCTATCTATCTATCTATCTATCTATCTATCTATCTATCTATCTATCTATCTATCTATCTATCATGTTTCCACAAAAATAAGATCGGGTCTTATATTAATTTTTGCTCCAAAAGATGCATTAGGGCTTATTTTCTGGTTAGGTCTTATTTTGGGGGAAATACGGTACTAAATGCATCCATCTGGCTGACAATCTTAACTGGGGCGCATCCTGAAAAATCATGCTAGGATTTATTTTCCGATTGGGTCTTATTTTCGGGTATCTGTCTATCTGCCTGCCTGCCTGCCTGCCTGCCTACTATTATCTGTCTGTCTGTCTGTCTGTCTGTCTGTCTGTCATCATCATCTATCTATCATCTTGCAGACTAAACTGGCATATTTTCAAAAAGCAATACCCACAATTATCAAAATGCCACAATCTTTAAGAAGATCATAGAAGCATTAAAAAGAAGGTGATTTTTTTTTTAAAAAAAAAAAATCTTGCCTTCGGGACTCACTTATTCTAACACCGCTTTTAAATAAAATTATGCCCCGTCCGTCAGATTTAACTGAATACATCTCCGTTGTGGTCTTTTTTTGCTTCTTCCTGGGCTTAAGTCCTACAAACAAACCCTTCATGGTTCAAATTCTTTTGGAGAAGTTGTGTGCCCTGCATTGTCTGACTCTTAACATTTGCTCCTCAAATCCCTACAGATGGCAACGGACGTGGTTCTTTCCCCCCCCCCACCCCTTCTGCTGCTTTACACACTGGGTCAGATGTTAGAGCCTGTCTTACAACAGGAAACAAGCAGCTGGAATGTCTGTTCTGCTGTTGTGCGCCAGATGTTTGTTTCCCTTCTGCCAGTCACCCAACTCTTGCTAGAATTGTCTTCAGATGCTTTATGCATTTTTGTCATTGACACGGGGAAGGGAATTACACGGAGGAGGTTATCTGCCCACTACAAGAATAAATTCTGCATTCTTGGTGGAAAGAGGGTCTGTTTCCCCAAAGAAAAGGCTGCTTCCTTCAGTTACGATCCAGATGATTATCTAGCAATAGGATAAAAAGATGAGAAGTTTTCTTAGCCTAACGGAGTCTCAGAGGTGTTTTTCAAAAGCCAATTGGACTTTTTTCTTCTTCTTTGCTTCTCATCCAAAGAAGCTTCTTCGGTTCTTCAGATATCCTAATTGAGATTGTTCAATCTCAGGCTCTATAGCAGAGGAGTCAAACTCAAGGCCCGCGGGCCGAATCTGGACTATATGGTGCTTAGATCCAGGGACCACCCTGGAAACAGCAAAGGACCCACCCGTGGTACCTCTACCAATGAAAACAGAGCTCAGGAGGGCTGTGTGCACCCCACCGGAGCCTGTTTTCGCTGGCAGAGGGCTAGCAAAACAAATTAAAAACAAAACAAAAGGATAAGAGCCTTGGTGGCGCAGCAGACTAAAGTGCTGTTAAGTAGCACCAGCTGCCTTGCATTACTGCAAGTTTGAATCTCACCAGGCTCAAGGTTGACTCAGCCTTCCATCCTTTCGAGGTAGGTAAAATGAGGACCCGGTTTGTGGGGGCAATAAGCTGACTTTGTATATAAAAAAAGAACACCGCTTGGGGGGGCGAGCATATACTAAGCAGGTATATACAAAAGTATGAAAGCTATTGCTTGATAGCTTAATAACTATTAAGCTATTAATAGTTAACTATTAATAACTATTAAGCTATTGCTTAATAGTAAAGCTTATTACTATTGCATTGTAAGCCGCCCTGAGTCTCCGGAGAAGGGCGGCATATAAATCGAACCAATAAATAAATAAATAAATAAATGTTTCCCCTTTTGCATTGGAGCATCCAAGAAGGGACAAGAAAGGAGAAAGGGAAAGAGGAAAAACAAAGAAAAAGAAGGGAAGATGGGAAGAGAGCAAGGAAGGAAAAAGAAGGAAAGGGGAAGGAAGAAAAAAGGAGAGGGAAGAGGGAAGGAAAAAGAAGGGAAGGAAGGAAGGAAGGAGATTATAATGAGAGGGAGGGAGGGTCTGAGCCTTAGCACTTGACCACCAAAGGTGTCCCCGACACAAGTGACATCTACCTGCCCCCCCTTCCGCCCCCCAAGTCAAACACAACCCTCATGCGGCCCTTAACGAAATTAAGTTTGACACCCCTGCTCTATAGCAAATAATATTGCAACCAGAAACAGCCAAAACAGCACTGGGCAAAAGTTTAGAATGATTCTATTCAAATACTTTTTTTTTTTTTAATTTGATTAATATGCCGCCCTTCTCCGGAGACTCAGGGCGGCTTACAATGCATTAAGCAATAGCCTTCATTCTTTTGTATATTTTATACAAAGTCAGCTTATTGCCCCCACAAACTGGGTCCTCATTTCACCTACCTTAGAAAGGATGGAAGGCTGAGTCAACCTTGAGCCTTGGAGAGATTCGAACCAGCAGAAATTGCAGGCAGCTGTGTTAATAACAGGGTGCACTAAACCACTTTCAAAATAATGCATGTACATTTTGTATAGCAAACACAAACAGGCTGAAGTTTGGCTGCAATTGAGGGATTTACCTGCCTTGATGGTCTGGTTGAGTTCATACTACAAACTAGATACCTGTTAATAAAACGCAGTCACTCTGTTTGCATAACTAGCAAACAGGTACAATGGGTTAATGTGATGGTTTGATACACACAGCATGTTAAGCCCGCAGCTGGGTTCCCATATCTATTGAACCAACATATTTTAATCAACTGCATTTTAACCTAACTTAGTTGGTTACGTGAGCTTAGTTTTATATTTGTTGATCAAATTTATACACAGTCTAAGTGACTCTGAGCCGTTTACAAGTAAAAAAAAAGCCATAAAAACTCACAAAAAGTAAACCAAATTATGTCTAAAAGAAGTACTAACTCAAGAGTTACTCTCTAAGCAGATATAAAATGTGAATGAGGGTTTGAATTCCTCTAGTATCATGATGGCGAACCTATGGCATGAGTGCCACAGGTGGCACGCAGAGCCATATCTGCAGGCACGCGAACCGTTGCTCCAGCACGCATGCGTGCACCGGCCAGCTGATTTTGGGCTGGCCCCACCCATGCTGCCCCCCCCCAAAGAGTCTTCACATGGCCTGTTTTGGATGCCAGCTAAGTACAGGGCTCGCATGGAGGCTCTGGGAGGGCGAAAAATGGCCTCCCGGAAGTCCAGAAATGGGTCGTTTCCAGCCTCCGGAGGGCTGGGGGAGGCCGTTTTCACCCTCCTCAGGCTCCAGGAAAGCCTCCAGAGCATGGGGAGGGCGAAAAAAGGGCCTACCGGAAGTCCAGAAACAGGCTGTTTCCGGCCTCAGGAGGCTTCGGGGAGGCCTGCTAGGCCCAAAATGGGGTGCGGGGGGGGGCAGCGCTGGGGGGTCACGCGTGGATGCACAGGGGCAGGGCGTGCAGGGGGGCATTGAATTGTAGGTGTGGGCATGCGCGAGACACGCTTTCATCACCCGCGGAAAAAAAGGTTAGCCATCACTGCTCTAGTACATCAACTCAACATCAACTCTGTTCCTTAGATGCAGAAAGAGATAGGAGGAAAAAATAATTTTCACTTAATCTGAACGTTGTAACCGGACATCATAGAATGTGCTTTCTGTGAGATCCTTGGTGGTCTTGAACTTCGTTGACTTCTTGCAGAGTTTCATTGTCAAGCCAGGTAATGTCCTCAGTGCTAATGATGTTACCTAGGTTGATAATGAAACATCTGCAAGAAAGCAACGATGTTCAGAAAGCACCAAGAGACCCCACTGTTTAACCTTAAAATACAGATGTTCTCTTCTATCAGTGTTTTTTTTTAAGTTGTGTAGGACTAAAGTCTCTGAGATCTCATCTCTTTCCCAATCTTTTTGTGTTCTTCAGGAGAAAGGTTTACATCATGATTCTGTGGCCGCAAGCTTTCAACCAACAGAAGATGCTTCTTGAAGCAGTGGGGGATTCCTGAACTTCAGTACATGGATGCTACTTAATTTTGCTTCACCAAGCGCAGCGCTGGAATGGGAAATCACAGCAACAACCATACCTGCGTGATCGATGATTCCTTCAAGTACAACCTCTATGGAGCTGTCTACAGTGTGGTCTTCATCCTTGGCTTAATCACCAACTGTGCCTCTTTGTTTGTCTTCTGGTTCCGCATCAAAATGCGGAGCGAGACAACCATTTTCATGACCAACCTGGCAGTCTCAGACTTGCTCTTCGTCTTCACTCTCCCATTCAAGATCTTCTACAATTTCAACAGGAACTGGCCCTTTGGAGACCCTCTGTGCAAGATCTCAGGAACAGCCTTCTTGACCAACATCTACGGAAGTATGCTATTCCTCACCTGCATCAGTGTAGACCGCTTCCTCGCTATTGTCTACCCCTTCCGGTCTCGTTTGGTTAGGACAAGACGTAATTCAGCAATTGTGTGTGCAGGGGTATGGGTTTTGGTACTCAGCGGAGGGATCCTGGCATCCTTGTTTTCCACAACTAATACCACCAATGGCATAACAACATGTTTCGAAGGGTTTCCCAAAGACGTATGGAAGACCTACCTGTCCAAGATTACAATATTTATTGAAGTGGTTGGCTTTATCATTCCCCTTCTGCTCAACCTTACATGTTCATCGCTGCTTCTGAGGACCCTCAGGAAGCCTGCCACCCTCTCCCAGATTGGCACGAACAAAGAAAAGGTGCTCAAGATGATAATCGTGCACGTCACCATCTTCGTGGTGTGCTTTGTCCCCTACAATTCCATCCTTTTCCTTTATGCCCTTGTACGTTCTCAAGCTGTAGCCAACTGTTCTCTGGAGACCTTCGCCAAAACCTTCTACCCAATCACCCTGTGCATTGCCACTCTCAACTGTTGCTTTGATCCTTTCGTCTACTACTTCACTTCAGAATCCTTCCAGAAATCGTTCTACGTCATTCCTCATCTCAAAACAGATTCCCTTTTCAAAACCGAAACTCCTCTAACGAAAGTTCCCCTGCCACCAATACAGGAGGAGATGAGTGACCAGATGATTACGAATGGGGGAGACCTGACCTGTGAATCCAATTTTTAACCCTGAAGCTTTCTGCACTAACGGTAGGATAGGCATTGAACTGCAGAGAACTTGGTATTAACTCAGTAGGTGGGAATTAGATAGAACAAGTATGTATGAAAAGTCAAGCAGATGCTCTTCCTTCTGAAAACATATCCTCGTGTTTTAACTCCAGTAACGTATGCACATTTGGCTTTTGAAGCATCAGAATAATAAAATATTTCATCTTGTCCTTATTCATTCCTTCCTCTGCTGATTACTGTTAAAAAGGTAAAGGTTTCCCCCAGTGGTGGAATTCAATTTTTTTTACTACCGGTTCTGTGGGCGTGGCTTGGTGGGTGTGGCAGGGAGAGAATACTGCAAAATTTCCATTCCCATCCCACTCCAGGGGAAGGATACTGCAAAATCCCCATTCCCTCCTCACTCATGGGGGAAGGATATTGCAAAATCTCCATTCCCATTACACTCTGGGGCCAGCCAGAAGTGGTATTTGCCGGTTCTCCGAACTACTCAAAATTTCCGCTACCGATTCTGCAGAACCTGTCAGAACCTGCTGAATTTCACCCTGGTTTCCCCTCTCTAGTCATGACCAGCTCTATTTTCATCTCCATTTCCTAGCTGAGGGAGCCAGCATTGTTTGAAGACGCTTCTGTGGTCATGTGGCTGGCATGACCATACACTGAGACCCACGGAACGCTGTTGCCTTCCCAGCAAAGTGGTACCTATTAGTCTACTTGCCTTTGCATGCTTTCAAACTGCTAAATTGGCAGGAACTGGGCCAAGAATGGGAATTCACCCCATCATGTAATGCTTGGATCTCAAACTACCAATCTTTCGGTCAACAAGCCCAAGATCTTAACCGCTAGGCCATTGTGTAATTATGGAGCAGTGGCCTTTCCCAAATCTGATGGGGTAGAAGTAAGTTTGTTCTCCCAGTTCTCTTCCTCCAATATGGAGAGAGTGGTTCCTGCTCATGTAAGTAAACTTCCCCTCCAGTTTCCCTTCTGAAATGAATGAAAGTAATCCAACATAAAACTTCCTTTTTGGGTAGAATATGAATGTATAAATATCCAAATGATGAGTGGAATGTTTGTCATATTGGAGGCACTTGTCAAGCTAGCATGCATTTAGAAAGATCTTAAGAAGCAGGATATGCTATCATTTTTGCTTAATATGTAATCATCCTTCTTCCACTTACCTCTATTTCTGGTTCTGAATTGCAAAGAGGACAATTGCAGCCAACAACAATGGGTAGAATTTCCATTGCAAATGCTGGCAGGATAAATTTCCGTTCGCCTTTGCTCAGGAACATCAAGATTGACAGTTCCATGTAAGGGATTGGTGGGTTTTGTTTTGTTTTTTTTGCAATGTTTGCAGAGGAATTTAAAAGATGGGGGAAAGACATTCAAGGGATTAGTTAAGAAAAACAAGAGGAAGGGTTGGTTCAGAATACAACAATGTTCTCCTGAAGACTGCAGTTGATGGAATCAAAATACACCATCGTTCATCACGATGAAAAATCTACACTAAGACTTTCAGTCATGGGGACAATGCAATAGTATTTATATAGTATGTGTGCCGGGGTTAGTTAGATAAGGTTACTGTTATATAGGTCGTTATTACTTTAGCCCAAGATTGGTGATAACCATGAAAATGTCAGGTGAAAGAATCGTAGCCATCCATTTAAGTTTGCCAACACGTAAGATTTATTCAACCCTATATGCAAGAATCTAGGAGGATTATTTATTTAGGGTATGGCATATATATTAACATTTCATCTAGACTAGTAAATGAAATGTTAACATAGGCTGTATATATAGATATTTCATCTAGACCAGTAGAAACCAATAAAATATAAATGTTAAAAAGATCTATGTTCAAGTACCACTGTCTAGGCCATCTAACCATTAAAGCGCAACGTCATTTATGTTCAAAGAATCGGATACCGGATCGGTATATGCCCTCAGCTTCCAGCTGGTTACAATGTGATCTATAGTTTGACGTGGGACCCCACGGTTAGATTGAGGGGAGGATGCTTTCTCCAATATGAAGAGTGCAACCAAGCTCAGAGAAGACCAAGGACCTCCTCATTTCAATCCTGAGCTACAAATATTCTCATTATTGGTACAAGAACCTAATTAAGTTCAGTCCTAAATTGGTGCCAGGTAGAATTCAGGAGGGGTTGTACTTGGGCCATTTCTGGGAACGTAATGACTCTAAAACTCAAAATACTTTGGCCACCTAATGAGAAGGAAGGACTAGCCTAATGCTGGGAAAGATTGAGGGCAAAAGAAGAAGTGGACAGTAGAGAACGAGGTGGCTGGATGGGGTCACTGAAGCAGTCGGCGTGAGCTTAAATGGACTCCAGAGGATGGTAAAGGACAGGAAGGCCTGGAGGAACATTGTCCATGGGGTCGCTATGAGTCGGACATGAGTTCACAATTAACAACAACAAATGACTAAGCTGATGACATGCTTAACTCAACCACACACACCCCTCCTCTCAGCTCTGTCTACTCTTTCCCTACAGAAAGAAGCCTGGCAAAACATCATCTAGTGAGTTTAGGGGGTTGCAAGTGGGCACAAAATGGTTCATGGTAAGGATCAAGCATTGAATAATAATCCTTGAATTCACAAATTCTTCAAATTAACTTCCAACCTGTTTCTTAGATGTTCATCCTAATTTCCCTGCAGAAGCCCAAGGTGGGATTATTTAATACACCCTCCAGTTTCTACCTGGAGAGGGAGGATGTCAGGACTCAAAGAAACAAGGAGTAAATAAGAATAACACCCCCTCCCCGTCATTACTCCCCTATGGCTGGGAAAGTGGCTTCCCCCCCCCACTTTCTCTTTCACACAGATGGGATTTAGAAGATTTGAGCTTCCGTGGTCACCATGTCTGGTGCCAGAACCTCATTCTGAGTTGAAACGAAAACAGTAGAAGCCTCTCTTTGGATGTTAAAAAGAGGAAGAACGTTTAGTGGGCCAAAGTTGAAAGCAGGGAAGGAGGAGGGAGCCAGTGCCTCTCACACAATCTCTGAAGAGCTTTTAACATTGTTCTGAGCAGAACTTCTGACAAGTTTATTTAATTTTTAATTGGGGGGGAGGAATGAGAAGCTGCTTCTTTAAAGACTTGGAACACACCACCGTCTAACCTCCCTAACTGGAAATTTGAAAGCTAGCAAAAGGAAAAAAATCAGCTGGGACTGGACAGACTCCAGGTTAACCCAAACATAAAGGGACTCTAATCCTAGCATAATGCCGGCTCTTTTTTTTATTTATTTATTTTGCTTTCTATTTTAAATTCAAGGTCCTGCCAAAGCTTACAAGGTTCCCTTTTTTTTTCTTTCTTTCTTTTTTCAGTTTTACAAGCCAAGAGTTGTGGTCAGTTTTCTCACGTACAATCCCAAGTTCTTTTCATTTGCCAAAAGCGTCCGCTGAAAAGATTCATTATTTTGTCATTTAAAGGCCTTCAATAAATTTATCCAGAGATCTGACCGGGGGTTGCTGAGGATTGCAAATAGCAAGACAGAGTGGCTTTTTTCCCCCTTATTAATGGAAATAAAGACGAAATGCCTGCATAAATGTGTGTTTTAGGGGCATGCACGCAACTAATTAGCATTCATGGCAAGGGGGCTCTGTTGTTCCTTTCAGATGCTGCACTCATTGTTCGAATAGAACTTCGCTCAGAAGTGGGGGGGAAAAGTGGATTTAAGCAGAACAGCTGAGAATTCTGTTCAGCAATAAACTCCTTTTGGAATCCAGTCTCATAATCTCTTTACAAGGGTTTTGAAAGAGCACCATCACATAAAAGCTGACTTCAAGCTTCTTGGGTGAAGTTGGTTGTGATGGAGACACATTTCCTAGCAAACTCATTTTCTCCAGGTCAGAAAATGTGCTAGTCTCAGAAGCTAAGGGAGATAAGCATGTGTGTTTCTGTCTGTCTGTCTAAAAATAAAGTCTAGATCCGTGATGGCAAATCTATGGCATGGGTACTACAGGTGGCATGCACAGCCTTCTCTGCGGGCACATCAGCCATTGACCCAACTCAGCTCTACCATGCATACCCACGCGCCTCTCACCGGCGAACTGGTCTTTGGATCTCTCACGCATGCATGTGTTGTGGCCCGCCAGCGGCCTGCGCAGATTATGGCTGATCCCGACGATGAGGAGGCTGGTTTGGTGTCGCGCCAGCAGCCTGCGCAGCCGGCGTTCACGTCAGACAGCGAGGAGGCTGAAGAGGATGTGGTGCCAGAGGGAGAGACTCAGCCAGGGCCTTCAGAACCTCCAGAGGCTCCTTCAAGTGGAGAGAGCGAAGTGGAGGAGCCTCTCCTCAATGTTCGAGCACGCAGGGCTGCCAAAAGGCAGGAGTGGCTACTCAGGAGGAGGAGGTCTCCTCGAGAGTAAGGCTTGAGGATAATTGGCCACTCCCTTAGCCTATTTAAGTCACACGCCGTTAGTAAGTTTCTTGCTGGAAACAACTTGTAATTATCATCAGAGCATTTTTGGAAAAGTCTTATTGTATCTTGTTTTCTGGGCTGGTTGCCAACCTTTGCCGGACTCTCGTTTATTCTTGCTACTTAATAAATTTGATAAGGACCGCTGGTGTGTGTCAATATCCTCGGGAATCCGGAGCTGGGGCAGAACAACATGAGGGGCAGGGCACATGTGCGGGGGGCTGCAGGTTGCTGCAGGAAGCTTTCCAGGCCCAAAATTGGGTGCGGGGGGGGGCCCTCGCACTGCACCCCGTGCCCCGTTTTGGCTTCCAGGTTGGTGCAGGAGGCTTTCCAGGCTCAAAACAGGGCATGGGGGGGCCTCGCGTGGCACCCTCGCACCCCATTTTGGCTTCCAGGTTGGTGCAGGAGGCTTTCCAGGCCAAAAATGGGGCTGGGCGGACCCCCATGCCCCATTTTGGGCCTGGAAAGCCTCCTGCACCAACCTGGAAGCCAAAACGGGGCACGGGAGGCCGGGGTGCATTTGCAGGGATGTGCACTCATACACGGGGAACATGTGCGCATACACAGGGGTGGGGCACATGCATTGCATTTTGGCGGTTCGGGTATACGCACGTGCATTCATGCAAGCGCGTGCTTTGGGCACTTGGCACCAAAAAGGTTAACCATCAGTGGTCTAGATGGCAGCTCCAATTACATGACAGAAGCTGTATCCCAACAGAAGAAATTTTTTGTTGAACCGGGGGTCCTTGCTGTACTTGGTTGTTTTCTTGAAGACGTTT